CTGTACCTGTTGGAATTGGAGCCGTTCAGCTTTGTTGCCCAGAGCTGGGCCTCTGTGCCCGTCCCACGCGGCTCAGGGGTTGAAAACCGGCTGTCTCGGGGCTGTTTCTCTTATTCTGCTAATTTTAGAGGCAGATGATGTTGCCATTGCAACATCTGCTATTATTTCAGCTCCAAATGACTTATTGTTTTTATTATTTAACTGATTTGTTATATAGCCCTCTCTACATGTAGGTCACCAGAACAGAGTCAGCATACAGACTTTTAAACCAGAATTACTATGTATGTGGATTCAAATGGACTCCATTTGTTGTTTCAATTTCCTTACATGTGATTGCTCTGTTCAGTCTTTCTATTTCCTCCTCATTCAGCTTTGGGAGATTACATGACTCTAAAAATCTATCCATTTCGTCTAGGTTCTCCAGCTTAAGAGCATGAAGTTGTTCATAGTAACCTCCTCTTATGTTTTAAATTTCTGAAGGGTCTGTTGTAATTTCTCTCCTTTAGTCTCTGATCTGATTTATTTGGACATTTTCTCTTTTTTTACCTGGTGAGTCTAACTAAAGGTTTGTCTTGTTTATTCTTTCAAAGAACTAACTTCTGGTTTTACTCACTCTTTGAATTGCTTTTTTTGTTTCTGTGTTACTGATTTATGCTCCAGTTTTTACTATTTCCCTCTATCTACTAAATTTTGTTCATTTGCTGGTCCCTCTGCTGTTGTTGTTTTTTTTTTTAAATTTTTATTAGTGAGACATCATGAGGTACAGTTGTAGACTTACAAATTTTTGTGCTTGGGTTTCAATTATACAATGATCAAATACCCATCCCTCCACCAGTGCCCATTTCCCACCACCACGGATCCTAGTATCCCTCCCACCCCCCACCCCCCCATCGCACCCTGCCTCTGTGGCAGGGCATTCCCTTTTGTTCTCTCTCTTATTGGGTGTTGTGGTTTGCAAAAGAGGCAATGGGTGACAATCATGTTTGGTCTATAGTCTACTGTCAGCATGCTTCTCCCATCCTGGGAGGATCCTCCCAACACCCTTTATTTGGTGTTCCCTTCTCTATCTGAGCTCCCTTTTCCCCTAGCATGTGTGGTTGGCCTCCAAGCCATGGAGTAAAATTCCTGGTACTAATCTCAGCCATTCTTGGGTGTTAGTCTCCTATTTTGTTACTTTATGTTCCCCAGATGAATGCAATCTTTCTATGTCTATCCCGCTCTTTCTGACTCATTTTGCTTAACATAATACTTTCCATGTAGTACCACTTGTATGTAAATTTCATGACTTGTCTTTTCTAACAGCTACATAGTACTCCATTGTGTAAATGTCCCAAAGTTTCTTTAACCAGTCATCTGTTCTTGGGCACTCAGGTTTTTTCCAGATTCTGGCTATTGTAAAGAGTGCTGCAATGAACAAACAATTGCAGATGTCACTTTGACTATATTTTTTTGAGATGTGTGTTTTGGTTGTTGATTTGAGCTTTTCCTTCTTTCTTAATGTATGTGTACATTACTATGGATTTTTCTTTAGTACAGCTTTTGCTATATATTATAGATTCTGATAGCTTGTATCTTAATTCTCATTAGTTTTAAAGAATCTTTTAAATCTCTCTTAATGTATTATTTGATCCAGTGTTTCATTCAAACGTTGTAAGTTTTCCCCATCTTCTTTCTATGGTTAACTTCTACTTGCATGGCATTGTAGTGTGAGAAGGTACTTCGTAGATTTCTATATCTATAAATTTATTTGAATTTTTAATATTTGAATATTTGAATTATATACTGTGTATAATCTATCCTGGACAACCTTTCATGTTGAAGAAGAATGTTTATTTTTTCGGGGGTTGGGAGATAGAGAGCATTGTATATTGAAGACCGACCATATTTTTTTTAAAAGTCATGTGGGAGCAGGTCTTATTCTGCTAACTCTTCTTTTAAAGATAAAAACTTAGTAAGCCTTTTTATGTTTTAATATGTAAACATTTTTGTTTTTGGTCCATATCTGGCTGTTCTCTGACATTATATCTGGTTCTGAGCTCAAGAATCACTCCAGGTGGAGCTTACGGGACCATCTGGGGATCAAAGCCAGGTCAGCCACGTGCAAGACAACTACCTTATCCTCTTTATTATCTCTCCAGGTTCTCACAGATAAATGTTTTACTCAGCTTATAACTTTCTTTTATCCTGTTATACAATTACCAAACTGATGACACATATGATAGGTTTCCTAAAAAAAATTAACACAATACTCTATTTCAAGTACCAGTGTATGTAAAACTTATTTCCTAATAGATAAACTCACACATGTAAACACTTACTGTCACTGTCCTCCCGTTGTTCATCGATTTGCTTGAGCAGGCCTAGGAACGTCTCCGTTGGAGACTTTGTTGTTACTGTGTTTGGCATATCGAATACATCATGGGTAGCTTGCCAGGCTCTGCCGTGCGGGCGAGATACTCTTGGTAGCTTGCGGGGCTCTCTGGGAGGGGCTAGAGCAATAGCACAGCAGTAGGGCGTTTGCCTTGCACACAGCCAACATGGCTGACCCGAGTAACCACTTAACCAAGTAGAAATTTTCTAAGGTAAGTATACAAGCCATGGTAAAAGGTTATGGATATTGGTTGTTGTTGACAACAAAGATTGTTGAGTACTCTAAGGAGACATTTAGGAGTCTAAGCTGACAATAGCTTTCTTAACTATCGTCAATATAAAGCTTTCAATGTCACTCAGGTTGTTGTCATTCAGCTGATACAGGAAGAGTTTGGATGATTACAAATGAGAACATTTTATGGGCCAAGTATAAAAATAGCTCTTAGTACTCCAGTTCACATTCTGTTGGCTGGAATACTAATACACCTGATTACAGGGAACACTGGAAAATATAATCCACTTTACAGTCAAGAAGTAGAGATGAATCTTGGTGAGCATTGATTCGCTGCCTTAACCCAAAATGAATATTAATGACTGGGGCTTTAAAAATTTTGTAGCTATGTGAATTTTTTTCTTTTAATAGTAAGTGTAAAAGCAGGATTAAATGTACAAAGCACATAAAGATGTCTTGTTTTCAATTAACAAATACTTTGCATATCTCAAAAAATATAATAAGTTCGTGTATGGCCTTTGCCCTGATTTATTTGCATTAACATTGTATCATATTTATAGAACAGATTTTTGAAAAGACAGATAAGACGTAGACTTGGCTTGCGGCTTCCTAGTTATTTCTATCCATTGATTCCTCTTTATTCATCCTCACTGTAATTAAATCAGTGTTTGTTATTCTATATGTTTACATTACTCATCACTGTTTTCTCAGTAATTTAGTAGGGTTTCTTAAACTTTTCCCCTTACAGCTTATTTTTGTCTGAGAAATGGAATGTAGGTGAATGGTGCAAGAAACACTTTACTCAATTAATTCTGATTTTATTTTTGCTCATGTCATGTTCAGAAATTTTTTGTGTTGCAATTTTTTTGAGATTCCCACATTTAGTTACATTATCTCATCTATTAACTTACTCAATTTAGGAAGCTAGTACTTAGGTTATAAAATATGTCTTTATAATCACTGGTATTTTACTTAAAATCTTTGAACTTCAATTTTCTATCTAAAATTTTAAGATGTGAACTCTAATGTCTCCACCCAATCCATGATTCTCTTTGCTCCCATCTATCCACCCACTGCTGCAATACATCATAAAATAACTGCAGAAAATGACTGGAAACTTCAATAACAAAACATTTTTATTAGTTCAGAAAAAATATTTAATGTCTTTAAGGGTGAGATAGATTAGTATTTATACAAGCATAAGGAATGTATTTTTAAGATTCTATCTACTAACATTTTGAATATACATACATGTAAATAATCAAATTGTATATGAAAAAATCCAAATATATAAATCTGGTGCCTAGTTGTCTATTTAAAAAAATACAATTTAATAAATTAATGAAAAAAATGAGTATTAAACAAACATAAAACTAAGAGATGTAACATCTTGAAAAGAAATACACTTGTGAAACACTTTCAACAGATACCTCTCCAAAGAGTCATAGATTGGGGAAAATATAGATAGATCAAAATATGAAAAGAATGGATATAGAGAATTCTAAGAAGCAATATGTTTTGTTAATCGTGCATAATTCTTCATAAAAGAACTACTTCCTTTCCACAAATATATGTATAGATAGGTAAGTGTTCTTATTAATTTGATGAAATTGCTTTCAAGTCTGTTTTAAATTCCCCTTTCTTCAAAGGAGTGGATTCCAGCTGGAGGGCAGTGAAGATATTTTTTTTCTATTTCCCAAAGGGCATTTTGCAGGAGCCTGGCAGTATTTGTTCAAAGCGTTAAAGTTATGAAATGTGGGTTAGTTTTCATAAGCTTACATGATCATGTCTCATTTTTGCCCTAACTAATAGGTTTGGTAGTAGTTAAAGGGTACTGTGCTAACTCTGCAGGCAGTGAACAATTCAGAGAGAAGCATCCTGTCTTAATATTCTCCAAACCAGAGGGGAAAGGTGAGGTGGGACCAATCACCTCCCTTTCTGTGAAATTACTGGCACTGCTGGGGATTGTGTCAAACAGGCTCTCCTCAGTGTTTTCTTGCACTCTCTTTCTGATCTTAAGATCTTTAAGACAGCATTTTTGAGAATCTTGCTAAATTCCATGCAAGGCACTTAGCATTGAAGACCCCCATCATGAAGAAATGCTGATGAACTCAAGCATCTAACAGAAGACTGTCCACTTAGTCATTGACTTACTCCTATCTTCAGCACCCCTGGCCCTCACTTCCTGCCCCAGCTCTATGACTTTATGGCATATCTGTGAGCATTTCTAAGCTCAAGTGGGAAATCACTCACATGTCTGTGTTAAGATGGGAAAAACATAAGAACCAGACCCAGTGATGACAGACTTGTCACTCAGGATCTCTCAGTTCCTAGATCGCCACCTCTGCTGGGAGAGCAGGGATTCCCCTGGTCCACAGTGGTTGCAGCCTGGCACACGTGCACGCTCAGACTTTTGAGTATCTCTGTCCTTCAGGACATGGGAGGGTAGCCCAGAATGGCCGTCATTCTTTATTCTTTCAGTTCACCGAAGGAGCAGTAATTTGGCCCCAGGCCTCGGACAGTACAGTCAGTACTGTCAGTGTCACACCTGCCACAATGGCACTCAGTGGCAACTGGGTAAGTGTAGAGAGAGTCTGCGTGGTGAGCACAGCCAGGCACCCTAACGGTCTCGTACACCAGCTCCTTGAAGGTACATGTTTTCTGGATGTTGGGCCGGGCTGGGTCCTTATATACCAGATCCTGTGTAGTTTAGGGAGAGAGAAGTTTGGTTATAATATGTTTCTATTTAGCTTAACCAAAATGAGACTGGAATTTAATACTTTTTAAGTATTTAAAAAACAGGATACTTTAAAATTGAGTATTTCATTTTAATAATGAACTATTAAAACTCATTTTATGCAAATAATTTTATTAAAAAATCATGATCTTAAAAATGATCTAATGCTCTATTGTTTCCTGATTGTTGCTAGAAATCATACAAAATCATAAAAAGTTATAAAAACTATGCATTCTTTCATGATTATATTTATGTCCAAGTACTAGCTATTTTTCAATGGTAGAAAAATTTTGACTTTCAATATACTGTAGCCTTGTGGATTTGGCTTACACTTAAATACTATATATCTTTTAGGGTTCTTAGCTTCAAACAATAAAATTATTTGTATGTAAGAACTTTTCATCTAGCCAGAATAGGTACAAAGAACTTATACAACCTAGTATCTATGCCCTTGAGGCTTGGATTTTTTTTTTAATAGACTTAAGCAGTGCATTGATTTATAGGTTTATTTTGTTTTTAATAATCTGTGAGGATTGATTTTTTCAAACTGTGTATTGACATTCAGGCTTGTCAATAGAATCATTTTTATAATATGATTTTTGTGTTTTTATGTCATTTGGAAAACTATTTTGGTACTATCAGTTGCCAAGTATGGTTTCAAAGATAGCAATTGATTTTTTTGGAATTCAATTCATTATATATGTTTACGTAGCTATGGAAAACCTAACATAAAACCATCTTTTTATTTTAAATGCCTATTTATCATATTATCAATCAGACCAAATTAGAGGCATCCCTAAATTTATCCTCATCCAATCTGAGCCAGACATTCGATGGATACCCTGATAAGGTAAGGTAAGGTAAAGGCCCTCCCGTTGATCGTCGATTTGCTCGAGCGGGCCCAGTAACGTCTCCATTGGAGACTTTGTTGTTACTGTGTTTGGATACCCTGATAACTCCAATTATAACACAGACAGTCCTGGCTAAGGGACATAAGACCTTTACTCAGGAAATTTCAACTATTGCAAGAGTGGGACATCACCAAATTTGCTACAGCACTCAGTACCCTCTTTGCAACAAAACAGAGTTGGAGCATACCCGGGTAAAGCAGTAGCCCGCACACCAGGTGGTGTTGATGCTGATGCAGAAGCGGCATTCCTCTCTCTCCACCGTGATTGTGATGTTGGTCAGTTCACAGCTGTAGCTGCAGAGTGCTTTCCAGCAGCAGAAGAGGAAGCAAAACTGGACTGACTTCATCTTGGACCGGAGAGCCAACAATACTGTTCCAGGAGAACCCAAGAAAGCAAAGAATTATAATCATTGTTTAAGTTGGTCAAACTGAATATCACTGGTCTCCCCTTACTTCCCAGTCATGTTTTGCTCCAGCCAATATCCTCTCCTGTTATTTGCTCCCTGAATAAATATTTTTCATTAACTTCTACACTTTCATTTTTTGTATAAACATTATAGATTAAAACTCTAATGAAAATATTTAAGTAGAACAGTAGAGAGAATTACTGTTTACTCTCTTAAAGTGGTTATTCTGAATTATGATCATTTTTATTTGTCTTTTTGTTATTTCAAAAATTATTTTTGTTTAAAGCACAAATGAAGATTCTAGGACTGGAGAGAGTTCAATGAGCTGAACACATGCTCTGCACACAGGATAACTGGTTTGATCCCCACTCTGCATAGTCACAGATCACATGCCAACAGTTGCTCCCGAACATGGCCAGGTTTGGACCAAAAGCAGAAAGGAAAAACAGAAAAAGTAAAGAAAAATTCTGTACCTTGCTATTAGTTCTGCACTTCTACCATCATAAATATTAGCATTTGCTTTTGCCCTCATTGATTTCAAAAGAAGACCATTTTAAAGACCAGGTGAATAGGTTTATATAATGTCAATTGCATGCTAAAAACTGTGGTTACTGTATATTAATTGCATTAGGAAGTCAGGTTGGCAAGTACAAATTCCCTTCCCAAGCTCAGTGTTTGTTCTTCAGATCCTGAAAAATCTCTGATTTCCAAAGTACCTTGATAGCTATAAGATGTTGAGACTTACCTGTGGTTGCTTGCTTTGAGAGAAGCTGCAGATTGAGCTGTCTCACTTTTCCTTTTATATACAAAATTGTGTGCAGCTAACACCTACTGGATTTGTTGGGTATTAATATGACCAATGTTATCCTGATGCTTCTGAAAGTGAATCAGTGTTTAGGTAGACAGGGAGATCAAGCCTTACCAAAGTAGTCTAAACGCAGTAGATTAGAAACATAATGTTACCAGAGATAGTTGAGTCTGTGCAAATTAAATTTGATATAGTGGTACACCCACTCCTTCACCTTGTTAAATTAAATGTGACCCTAGGTTTTTCTTTCGTTTCATAACTCGGGATTAAGATTTTCTCCTAAGTATTGCTTTGGCTCTGTAGAGAAAGAGCATTAAAAAAGTATGGTTAATAAATTGTCCTGAGTGGGTATTAAATTTTTCTCAGAGCAGATTCAAAGCTGCAAAATGACCTGACGCATTTTATTTTGATTTTTTTAGTATGTTTAGGGTCACACCTGTCGGTGCTTGGAGATTCTCTCCCAGAGCAGGCTTAGGAAATCAATTATGTGCTGTCAGGCCCGTACGGCTCTCTATTCCATAATCTAATTTTTATTTAAAAAGTATTTTTCTTGGTTATTAACCTTTTTTTAGGTGTATGATGGGCAAATATTCTCTCCCAGTCTTTAGGGTGTCTTTTCACTCTGATAATCATTTCTCTTGCCTTGCAGAAGCTTCTTCATTTGATGCAGTTCCTTTTGTTTATATTTGCTTTTATCTACTTGGCCAATGGCATTGAATCATATAAGATACCTGTAGTTTTTATGTCGTGAAGGGTTCTTCCTATGTCTTTCTCAGTATAATTTATGGATTCATGCCTGATATTGAGGTCTTTATTCCATTTTGAATTGACTTTAATATATGGTGTGAGAAGGGTCTGTGCTCAAGTTTTTGTTTTTACATGTGACTGACCAGTTTTTCCAACACTATTTCCAAAGAATGTCTTTGTTCCACTACATACTCCCAGCTACTTTGTCAGATTAGATGACTGTATCTATGAAGTCTATCTCTAGGTTTTCAGTTCTGTTTCATTGGTTGTAGAGTCTGTCCTTATTGTAGTACCACAATGTCTTGATTACTACAGATTTACAATATAATTAAAATTGGCTAAGGAAAAATCTCCCATATTTCCCCCCACCTAGGATTTCATTGATTATTTGGGGGAGTTTGAGGCACCTGTAAACTTAAGAAAAAAAATATCCACCCCAAAATGGGGAGATGAGATAAACATAAATTTCCTGAAAGAAGACATACAGATGGCCAATAAGTATATGGAAAAAAATGCTCTGCATCACATCATCAGGGAAATGCAAGTCAAAACAATGATATAATTATCTCATATCAGTTATACTGAAAAGCATCACAAAGAAAACAAAATCAATCAATGTTGGTGGGGATGTAGGGGAAAAGGAACACTCATCTATTGCTGGTAGAAATGCTGACTGTTCCAGTCTTGAAAAAATATTTTCTTGAAAAAAAATTATGTTCACTTATACAAAAATTGAGCTTCCATATTGCCCAATAGGTTCACTTTTGTGTATCTACCCCCAACCCCCAAACCCTTATTTTGAAAAGGTATTTATGTTCTTGGGTTCATTGCAGGACTATTAACAAAAGCCAAAATATGGAAACAACCCAATATTGATGACTGTATAAAGAAACAATGGTACATATAGACAATGGGATATTACGTGGCTATAAAAAAAAAGATAAAATGCAATTCACCATTACATGGATGGAGTAGTGACTATTATGCTGAGCAATATCACTCAGAAGGAGGACCAATACAGAATGATCTTTTTCACATGTGGGATATAAGGAAACACAATGGGGGAATAAAAATGTTCTAAAGCAACAGAACGTGACTCATTTATAGAGCTGAGATTAGTATAGTGGGGAGTGAGGGGTGTAGTTCTCAGGGGACCTGAAACAATGGGGGAGAGAAGTGAACACGCTGCTGTAGAGTGTGAGGTTAGCATGTTTTATGCATAAAATCCTAACAGTGTTGTAAGTCATGCTGGCTAAGACATTTTTTTAAAGAAGTATTTCTCTTTCTTTATATTTCATATCCAGCTACATTAATCTGTGTTCTGTGATGCTTTACTTATAATTCTGTCCATGGTTTGCTGATTCCTTTCTTCATATATTTGCATGTGCAATATTCATGAAGCTTAAACTGTCCCTACTTTCTGCCTATGTATTTTAACACCACTCCCACTTCTGGAAAATACATTTTTTATTGGAGGTGCTTATAAGTAGTGCTCAAGGGCCTTGTGGGAACATTCCTGGAGATTCTCCACAAAATTGGATAAAACAGTTCAATGGTTATCTCAGTGAGGTATTGCTGTGTTGTCAACCACCATGTTCACCTTAGTAGTGCTTGAAGGTCACCTCCAAGAGGTACTCAAGGATCTACTATGGTGCCAGGTATTGAATTAGGGTCCCAAGCGTGCAGCACATGGGCTCTATATTATTGTACTCTATCTCCAACCCTTTAACAAATTTCTTAAGACTAGAGGCAAAGTAGAGCTTTAATTTGTAATTGTTTATATTCCTTTGTATCCCAGTAGAGTGCAAGGTCTGTGGTAACTGGGATTGATCTGGTTAACAGTGATTTATCAAAGACTGGAGGCATAGTGACAATAGTAATGGCATTGAGATGTATATCAGGATTCAAATCATGTATGACCTTTAGGCAGATGTAGTGACTTTGATTTTTTTCCACTATCTGTGAGAGGGAACTAATTGTGGGATTTCAAAATGAGGAGTGCTGTGATCTAATTTAAATCTAAAATAGGATCCTTCTCACTGTTGTGCTTCTAACATAGGGGACAAACCTGTACTTATTAGATGTTATTACAGCAACATAGGGGAGAAATGATTATTTGTTCAGGTCAGGTTGGTGTGGTAGCAATGGAAATAGAAAGACATTATCTGATTCTGGATATATTTTGAAAGTAGAGTCAGTTTTATGATTTATGAATGTTATGGGTGTGAGAAAGGAAAGAATTATGATATCAAAAATTCTGACATGAGTAACTTGAAGGATAAACTAGCTCTCATTTGGGGAAAAAGTGACCGGGGGTGTAGCAATTTTTGAGAATATATAAATAGTTTGATATAGTGATGTGGAGCTTGAAGCATCTAGAAGACATATAAGTAGAGTACAGAATCTGGATTTGGATAGAACTATAATGGCTTAAGGTATAAGTTTTGGAGTTGTTGACTAGAGCTTACATGTGAATGAACACAGACCAAAAAGATAAAAGAATATAGAGTTGAGTCGGGTGTCTTCCAAAATTAGAACAGGAGAAGTTGAAATTTTGTTGAAGCATTGCCAACCGTGTAGTGTTCCTGTCTTTTTATTTAGGAATCACTCCTAGAAGGCTTGGAGGACCATATTGGATGCCAGGGATCAAACCTAGGCTGTCTGCAAGCAAGGCAAGTGCCCTACTCACTGTGTTATCTCTCTTAACCCCCCTTTTTTACCTTCTTTATCCCAAAGGACCCAGGAAAAGGTAATTGAAGGAAAAATGAAATGAAGAGAATGTGGTGTCTTAAAAGCTAATATAATACAGTGTGTCAAGAAGGTGTGAGTGTTCAGTGCTACTGACAGGTTTAGTAAAATGAGGAGTGTGGATTGTGCAAAGCTTATGACACTATAAAGGCTACTAATGTCCTTACCTAGAGAAGTTGGTGGACAAGAACAAAACTAAAACCTTGACTGGCCTGTATTTAAGTGATTAGGTAAAGATATTTAAAAAAAATTGACAGTCAACTTTTCCAGTAATTTTGACATGAATACGAGCAAAGAAATGGCTGATATTAAAGTAGAAGATGAATTAGGGATACTTTTCTTTTGATTTTTTTTCTTTTTGGGTCACACCCGGTGATGCACAGGGGTTACTCCTGGCTCTGTGCTCAGGAATTACCCCTGGCGGTGCTCAGGGGACCATATGGGATGCTGGGAATTTAACCTGGGTCGTCCGCGTGCAAGGCAAATGCCCTACCCGCTGTGCTATTGCTCCAGCCCCAACTTTTCTTTTGATTTTTAATGCTTGTTTTCTATTTGTTTGTTTTTTTTGGGGGCCATACTGGCTGTGATCTGGGCTTAACTCCTGGCTCTGTGCTCTTACTCCTGGTAGGGCTTGAGGG